TTTCCAGGGTGAGGGACTAATAAACTGCATTACATACAGATTTGATGCACATATTTCAAAAATAACGTAGAATCCATCAATAATAATGACGGTAATAATTAAAAATGGGCTTCATAATGAGTACTTTTGTTACTATTTTTTAATGATTACATCTTTAAACTTTTACTTAGGCTAAGTACATTTGAGAATACAGGACATGTTCTTGTACCTTAAATTACTATATTTCTGTCAAAGGGAAGAGATGGGGGCTCCCTCTGCTGGAGGAGCTTGTTATTGTTTTATCAACACAGATCAGATAAACTTAGTAATAGTTTAGACATAACTAAAATCCGTGCTGTGCAACAGTCCTGTAATAAATCCTACTTTCATGAAGGCTTGTTATTTCAAGTATTTGTTAAAATAGTTTCAGGAGGGACTGATTTGACTGTTCACATTTGACACCATATTTTGATGCTTTTTATTTATTTAAATATTTCATTAGGCCATACCAATGAGAATACACTTGTAAGGTTTACATTCTCTTTGCATGTTCATTTATCTTCTACCTTTTTTTAACACTTATCTGTCTCATAAAGGCTTGCTGACTAGTACAGTACATCTAGCTGAGTTTAATGTATGCATCATATTACTTTCAATAGATTATGGAGAACCAGGGGTATTTTTGTTTTGTTTTTGTATGGAGCCATCAGCACTAAATGTGTGAGAAAAGACGATGAGTAGCAAATTGAAGGTGTAACATGAAACACTTAATATTTGCCTATGTTAGTTAAAACGCTGATAAAATCATGTGGAAGCTAATATCTCTATATCTCTGGAGCTTTGTATTGTTAACTTAACTTTTTTCAGACAGAAATAACAACGTATTGAAAGAACAACCTTTTATATAATTCATACTTAGAGGTGGAAGAAGAAATCAGATCTTGTACTTGAGTAAAAGTAGAAGTACCAGAGTGTAATACTTTGTTACAAGTAAAAGTCCTGCAATCAAAATATTACTCAAGTAGAAGTACAAAAGTATTAGCATCAAGTACAATGAGTAAGAGTTCTAATTATGCAGATTGGCCCATTTCAGAATAATATATTATATTTGATATATGCTTGATTATAAATATTGATGCATTCAAGTGTTATCACAGCTGGTAAAGGTGCAGCTAATTGTAATGACTTTGTATGCCGCAGGGTAGATTGTGAATTTACTCCAGATGTGACTAAAGTCTTTAGATGTAGATTATATTTCAAATCATTAAACAAAATCTTCAGAAGTAACTCAAGTAAAAAATAAATGCAGTGCAGGGGTAGAAGTACAAAGTCCCTAAAAAATGTTTACCCTAACTATATTGAGTAAATCTACCTAGTTACTTTACATCACTGTGTTTAATAATAATACACTTGCAATCTTGAGCAAGGATGCACAAGCAGAAAGACATAAACCTGTATTTTGTGACTTTTGAACTTATTACAGTACCTGAAGCCACATACCTGTAAGTCACGTGACCGTGTAGCGTTAACGCGGCTCCCTTACGCAGCATTTTCTTCTGTCATCTTGGCTCTGCAGCCTGGTTTCTGTGGTCAGGGAACATTTCTTCTGTCATCACCGTGATCCAATCAAACAATGGGGAACAGAGACGACGAGTATGATTTCTTATTCAAAGGTAAGCGGAACATAATCCTCTTATTGATCCCTTAGTTTGATATTATTTAGCGAGAAAACGAGCCCAGCTGAGGTTAGCATGTGTGCTAGCTATGCTAACGTCAGTGGTCAGTTATAATATCAGCTGATGGTTGGGCAGCTAACTGAAGCTAGCCTAACTGTTTTCCGTTTCCCACTCGTCATGTCTTATTAACCTCTTACTTAATAATTTACTGTAACTAAGATTTGTTACCGCTTTTATTTGGGCCAATGATTGCTGACAGTAATGTCATTTGCTAAATGGATTTCACAGAAAATAGTGCGTATGGTGAATTAGCCCTGTAAGCTAGAAGCTAACAGTACTTCAAACGGATGGAGCTAATACTTAGCGATATTTACATTCTACTTGATTATCATATAGTGGTCCTCACATATATAACCACACTTGTAAAGCGCAAATAGAGGCGTATTTTATTTAGACGGTGTAATGCAATCCTATAGGTTTAATGGAAGAGGAAACAAGAGTTCCCTTTGTGGTGGAAACCTGTCCCTTGAGGGAGGAAACTCACTCTAAGAGAGCAAAGAAGAGGAAACTCTTATGGGCTTTGTTGTTTTGTTAACTGCTTCAGGTGTGTAGGTAATTTCCCAGCCACCTGTTTTACATCAGGGTGTATTCTCATACCAAGCAGTCATAGATCTTACCTGAGTGAGTCAGTAGTCACACGTTTCTTTAACACCCTGGACTGGAGTTCAGTTTACTGATAACATGATGCTGACCTGCTGGTATTTATTCTAATTAGTTGTAAACGCTTGTGTTATGCATACATAAAGTTACTGACCTTGACAAGAAGTGCTTAAGTATGGATGGGCA